AAGCTATAAAAAAATGATGGGAAAAAATAGCGAAAAGCTATATAAAAATAAATAAAAAAAAAAAAAAAAAAAAAAAAAAAAAAAAAAAAAAAAAAAAAAAAAAANAAAAAAAAATATATAATGAGCAAAAATTGAAGTTAATAAATAAACAGCATTAATCAACTAGTGGTATCTGTTCATCGAATTCTATCACAGATAAAATTCTGGAAGGGGAGTAATGTGGCGTAACTACCACTACAAATATTAAAATACCGAATCAATAGTATATAAGACATGTTAACTTGAATCCATCACGAGGTACCTTTTGATAGATGAAGGTTGACATAGTCGAAAATTAAATCTCCCACAAGTTCAACTATATAAAGCTTCCTAAGTCATCTGGCTTGGGTTGCAAGTTTTCCTATTGTGGTTAGAATACCATGCTATGAACACAAAGACACCTAGTTCGATCCCAACATGTGTCAAACGAACACTTTTCCCGCAACCACGTAGAATCAATGCGCGACTGTCTCGGTTTTCGACAGATGACAGCACTACACTGCATAGCCTCAGTCCACGATTCGCTCTGAAATGACAAATGCAGTCTTCTGTGTCCAGGTCAATGTCAAACTTTTTTGACGTCTACTGTAGTGACTTTAACCTTAACCTGCTCTATGGAGCACAGCTCTTATGCACAAATATTTTGTAATGTAATGATTATGCAATATGTTTTTTTTCTGTAGTAAAAAGGAACTCTCAGAGAACTTTGCTATAGATACTAAAAAATGTTTTATTTTTCGCTCGCGAATATCAGCTTTTGACTCATAATGTTCATTTTTTTACTTCATTTTATGTAAGGATTCTATAAATTATATTTTAAGAGTACTCATTACGGAGTAGGCAAAAACTATTTTCTTACAGCGAGAGAATTCATTAAAAAATATCTTTTAACTTTAAGCATTATGCATTAAGGAAAAAATACTTTTTGAGCTTAAAAAAAACATTGAATTAAAGTAAATTTAACTTTTGTCTAATATTAATTAAAATATATACTATAACGAAATCTAGTTTCATTTTTTTACTTACTTTATGAACGAGCTTTCATTAAATTTTTTTCTTATTTTTACGTTAATTGAAAGGAAAAAAAATAAATATTCCGTTTTATGTCAGAATTATTTCTGTTTCCGTTCATATCTATATACCACATGATAATATATTGATAGTTAAAATTTTAAATGTAATTTGTCATAACAAAACTGTTTTTGATTACTTAACTGAAGGAGAATTTCTCATTAAAAACTAATTATCTGTTGAAAATTTTCGATGAAGTGTTTTAAAATTAACGTCATAAAAATTTTGCTCTTTTTTCCGTGAGAGCGTGTTTTTAAAATATGAAAAGAAATAAATTTGTTAGGTAGTGCTGCATTTTAAAAGCGTGTATTCAAGCGGTATTATAAATTTTATATATTAATTATTAAAAATCTCATTTATTTAATTGATATAGTTAAAATTTGTAGAGATATTTTTAAAAAAAATATGTCTTCGATTAATGTCTTAAAAGAACTTTAATGACGTTTTTTTTAACAGAATAGAATTAACTCTCTTTGAAAATACTAAATCTTTAGAAATGGTATTGTATAGTCTATCATAAATTTTTAACTTATAATTCACTTGAAATAATTAAACGTCACAATTTATTTCATACTAGGAAACTGAAGCCCTGTTCGCTAACGCTCACCAGCCCCGCTGATTGCTTCACAATAATTGTTGTTTCTAGGCACAAAATAGTTGAAATTATTCAGCTAAACATATGTACTAAAAATAGTACATACTACATATTTACTAAAAATAGCACTTGTGCCACCACATCCCACATTTAAATACTTCCCTTACGATACTATTAAGATCTATTAGTGAACATAAATCATTTTTTGAAATCAAACTATATACAGAATATTTGTGGCGTAACTACCACTATAGATACAAAATACCAAATCAATAGTATATAAGACATGTTAACTTAATTCCATCACGAGGTACCTTTTGATCGATGAGGGTTGACATGGTCGATAATTAAATCCTCTCATTGGTGGTGACCTGAGGACGTGATAAGAACATGCCAATATCGATGGATGATCCACATTAAATTATTGATTTACTTAAAAATATACTGCTAAAGAAAAGAAGATTCGGTGAAGTAAATACAGTCTCTCGGTCAAAAAAGAAAACAATAATGAAGGAAGAAAATATATAATGAGCGAATTGCTATAAAGAAAAAAAATAATAATGAGAGAAATGCTATAAACACAAAAAAAGAAGAACCAATATATATATATATATAAAATGAGCAAATTTCATATAAATAAATAAACAGCATGAATCAACTAGTGGTAACCGTTCATCAAATTCTATGACAGATAAAATTCTGGAAGGGGAGTAATGTGGCGTAACTACCACTATAAATATAAAATACCAAATCACTAGTATATAAGACGCGTTAACTCAATTATATTTTGAGGTACCTTTTGATAGATGAAGGTTGACATAGTCGATTTATAATTTTCCTCGCATTTATAATTAAAAGTATATTATTGTGGCAAACTTGATGAGTACACAACTGTAATTTGACATTTTTGCTTCTCAAGCAGACGGATTTATTTTAAATACTATGTTGGCACTCATCACTTTGTGCATGGAGTTAAAAGTTAAGTTCTAAATCATTAAACGAATCCCTTTAACCGTAATTCATATCAGTATATTAAAGTAATTTGCTCCAAAAAAATAATATACAATTGTAAAACGGTTAATAAGATCGGACACTGATTGATTTAAATAACTTTATTGTAAAGTGTAACATAAAATTACGTTTTTCTAATAATAACATTAATAATAAAAACAATCCTGTCAAACTCTTAATTTAGAAAACAAGCAAAATCAAAAATGCAATAATAACAGTAATGGTAAGTAATTTTAAAGTAGTGATACAAAAATATTTATAAGAAAATATTTAGCAGTTCACTCTAAACTTGTGCTATCTACCCAGCCCCAACCTGAATTAAGCTTTACCTATTGAAACACAGAGCTATAAGCGATAAGCAGAGAGCTCGCCGCACTTAACTATACTCAGTACTCAATGTTTATAAGAAAACATTACATTCATGGCTTATATTAATTTTATGCTGATGACAACCAAAACAATATAAACATCAGTGTGAAAAAACTGGATCCTAAAACATGATTTTTCCAGTCAATAATAATGCGCCGTCAACAAGGGAAAACAGTGACACCATCATTAGTTTTTTATATATAGTTAAAATCATACAACTTGATATGTTATGACCAATATAGAATGGAGTAAGAAAATTTGACTTATAAAGTTTTGCATTTTCGGTAATTCTTGTCATTATAATATTTTGTAGATAAAAGATGTTATAAGGGAACTAAACTACATAACACGCTTTCCTCTTATTGTTGAACTCAATTCAAACCAACAATTTCTTTTTGTTTAAAAACATATTTCATTTAAAAAAACTGATTTGAGTGAAGAATTGTGTCCTGTCAAGAAAGATACAGAAAGAAACCTGACACTTTAATAAACGTGGATATTCATAAATCCGAAAACTAATGGAAATGACTGGAAAGAACAAAGCTCCAATTTTCCACTTGGAAAAAAACGACTAAAAATAACGAAGAGGCTTACAGAAGACCACACCAGGATCTGGAGGATCATTCATTTCTCAGCAATTGTTAAGTGTAGAATGTCATGCTTATCGCTAAAAAATGATCATCCTAGTTCTGAGCAAAGCAAAAGTTCCTTCTCACCTTCCTACTCTGGAAGCTATTTACCCTGACGGTTTTTTGTTACAACCCCAACAATGCTAGTCTTTCTCCTACAAGACGAAATCACAAAATGGCTGGATGATAATGGAATAAATATTTTGAAGTGGATTGGAAAGTAATTGTTTACACATGAATTTAAGATGAATGAATACTCTATTTAAGGTGCTGATTTGGCATGTTATATTTTAGGATCTTGTGTTATAGTGAATAATGAGCTTGATTTTTTAAAAAAAATCAAAATGTCAGTATTGTTTTTTCTAAAATTACTGTTAAAACTCTTAGCTACTGCTTTCATTTCTTTGTCTCTCTTCGAGCTCTCATCTCAACTAAACACTATAAATATGGTAATTTTTTCTTTAATTTCGTGGTTTTAAAACTGCCTTAAGCGAATTCACAAAGTTTATGAGACTTTCAGAAATCTGAATAAAACTACATTTTAAAGAATGTAAAAAAGTATTCTCGTACATTTTTCTATAGGATTTTGCGCATCAATGATTTTCAAACCGTTATAAATAATCGTAATTATTATACTAATTATATATTTTCGTAAACCTTGTGGCATGAATAGAAAAAAATATTTACGTGAATTAAGACCAAAATTGAAATTTTCTGGTGAATAACAAAAGTTGTAAAAAACTGAATATTTGCTTTTCTATGAATATATGATTGGAATATACAAATATCGATTCTAGTTTAACTGATAAAAGGTACTAAAAATAACTTAGTTTTATTTCATTTTTTAAGACATAGTTTCCTACGACAATTATTAATCTGTTAATTAAGTCTGTTTCCTTGATAAAATTTTCTAAAACAATATCTTATTGTTAATTTAATTTTACTAAATTCATTACCATCACACTTCGGTGAAAACTAGCAACCTTTTGATGTTCCTGTAGAGTCAGAATCAAGGGGAATTTTACCGCATCATGGTAGAATTGACCATACTTTCTTTTTCTCAATATAATATTTAAATGTCCTTCAGAACAATAAAGATTCTGAAAATATTTATTAAAATCGGTGATTGCTTAAATTTTTTTTATGAATTTAATACTTTAATAGTATCAATAGCTTTGTGTGAGGATTCTGATGATATGTGTTGAGACAGTAATTTCTTAAACATTCTGTATATAGTGCAATATGAACATTTACATTCTTGCTAAATTTTTGTTTTTTATTTGTAGGAGGAATAATTTTGCCTCTAGATCACAGGCACAAGATAAATTCTGCTGGTGTTCTAGAAATACAGGACGTCCAAAAAGCAGCGGATGAGGGTGAATACACTTGCATAGCTAAAAGTCCAGATGATCTGACTGCATCTGGTTCAACATTTGTTTCTGTTTTAGGTAACTAAAATTGTGGCATTTCCTGAATATATATATATATATATATAATTTTAAAATATTCTTATATCTTCTTTTGTCTGTGAGCTCATGCAGTTATTTACAAATACTATAATACCTACATAATTAAGTACAAGATTTTTTAAATGTTTTATAAAGAAATGTTGTAATTATACAAAATATTGTCATTATATTTTTTTGAAATTTTTTTTCTATGATTGTATGATTAAAATATTACACTAAAAACTATTGTATTGAAATACAAATCAAGCAATCTGTGGAAAATTCCATCAGCTGTTCTTCTCAGACCATGCTGTTCATAAGACATCTATTGCAATTGAATCTCTAGTACTGTTATTTTTCCTCTCGGAGACAGGAGAACATTCACGTAAAATTCTGAATCTGAAATACAAATATAGTCATCTGTGGAAAATTCTATCAGCTGTTCTTCTCAGACCATGCTGTTCATAAGACATCTATTGCAATTGAATCTCTAGTACTGTCATTTTTCCTCTCGGAGACAGGAAAACATTCACGTAAAACTCTGAATCTGAAATACAAATATAGCCATCTGTGGAAAATTCTATCAGCTGTTCTTCTCAGACCATGCTGTTCATAAGACATCTATTGCAAATGAATCTCTAGTACAGCTATTTTTCCTCTCAGAGACAGGAAAACATTCACTTAAAATTTGCTTTGAAGTTAGCAAATACAATATAATAAGCATCGTGTTTCATTCAGAAATCTTTTCCTCTTTACGAAGTGCTTCAAATCATATCTCTCTTCGAAATGGGACGATGATGCCACAATTTTAAATTTTTAATAATAGTTCCGATTTTGTGTTCTACTAGAAAAATTGTAGCATGCATAAGACTAAGATTCACCATATTTAAAAGACAGAAAATGTCTGACAGATATGCTTGTTTAAGTAGCCTCGAAAGTAAATTAAGACGATCACTGAGAGGAAATTCTCTCTCAGTAAGAAACACCCTTATTTCTTCTCCGAGTTCTCAACAGCGAGACAGAAATATATTTCTAAAAAAACCATCGAATTATCCAGTGGAGTAACTCCGTGGTTCTAGTGTTAAATACCATCGAAAACAAATTCAGGCGATCACTGAGAGGAAATTTTTACTCAGTAAGAAACACCCCTATTTCTTCTCTTAGTTTCCAGAAGCGAGACAGAAATATATTGCTAAAACACCATCGAATTTCCCTGTGGAGTAAAATTTGGTAGTGATCACTATCCATATTTTACGAAGTTGCTCAAAAGCTCAGAATTCAGTAGTTTACTTTTAATGAAGTTCGTTATTGCAACCGAGTCACTTAGGATCCGTTTTAGAATTTCTGATATTTTACTAGAAACCAGGGATTCTCGATATAAGAAGCAATGATTCCTTGTAGCTGAGGGCTAAATCGCTTCAATTCGAGCTGGTAATCTTGAAATGTCTCCATTCATTGATTAAGCTCCATATGTGCTTATGCCGATACATTTCATCCTGTCTACATTATGAAGAGTCATGAACTCGTTTAAGATGTTAAATATTTCATCAGCAGCTATGTATACATACTACTTATCGGAAATTGCATTTCCGATAAGTAGTATGTCCTTCACTATATCTTATGTCACTATATCCAATGTTGCACTGAAATACAGAAATACTGATTTATACGTAATAACTGAGTTTTCATCAAGCTGCAGCAATAATAAGGCGATGAACTAACGCTCTCGAATCATTTTTCTCTTATATCACCTGACTCAGCATAAATCAGCTTCATGTTTAGAATTAATGCGTCTCTGCTGTTTTGTCTGCTTCATGGCATCGTTTGTCAAGATCTCATAACATAGTACGCATTGTAGTAGTAGTTAATCTGATGAACTTGCAAATGTGAAGCCAAAAGACTTAAAAAAATTCTCGGAATGAAGCCGAAGATATTTCATGCTACTTGAAAAGATTCCACCTTGCTTTGACAAATAAATATCTTCAGCATCGATGTCGCAGTTTTGCGTTTCAAATTAAGGCAGTGATTGCTATACAAAATCAAGAAATTTGAAAAGTAATAATCAAAACTGACAAATAAACTAAGATTAGAGAAGAGGGGAAAAAACTTATAGCCGTCTAAATACATCTGCAATAAATCAAACTAAACACAAATGACTGACTTCAAAAGATGAGAAAGAAAGTATAAATAACTTTTTATCTACTGATTGTATTTCTTATGAGCTGATCTTCAAATTTAATTTTTTCAAATTTTTCTTGTGTTGGATTTATAATCTTTAAAAAAAAGGTCCGATATTTAATCGTATGTTTTTTTTATATATTATGGTTCTCGTTATATTTATAGAACATATATGATAAAATAATATGATATGATAAAGAAAAAATTGCTTTTTTAAGGATATTTCTGTGGTTGAAATAATTTTTAATATATGTTCAGATGTTTTATTATTTAATTTCGTAAGTATAAAACATAAGTTATAATTTTTTGCATCTCCTTAAATAATAACTTTTCTTATGGATTGAAATTTGTTTTATAACTTCGAATTTTCCGCTAATTTCAGTTTTTTTAGCATCGAATAAACAAATTGGGTAAAAAAAGTTTTTAAATAATAGTTTCTAGAAATGTAACAAAAAGAAATAAATATTATACGAGTCCAAACTTTTGATTGTACTATTGACAAAACTTTTGAATGAGTTACATATTCCTAATAGACAGTTAAACTCCGCATTTCTGGTTAAAAAATCCAAATCTTGCGAAAAAAAGGTATGTTTATTGGAAAAAACTATGTTTTGTACTTGGTTTTTCAAGGACTTTACGCTTATCATTAATACTTTCTTTTCGGTTAGTCTAACGTAAGTAAACTCAAAAGTTGTTATTTATTTTGAAACAAAACAAACAAGACGCCTCTTTTCCCGAAATAAGTAAAAATAAATAAATAAACAAATAAAAATAGAATAGGAAAATTATTATGTAAAAAAATAGAATTGACTTACTCCAGAATAAAAGAAGAATATCCTAATTTTAATGTATTGTAAATGTGTTTGTTCAACCATTAAAATTGCGTTTTAACACATAAAACATCAAACCGCAGTTGACTAATCTTTAAAACCTGGTTCCCATTAGATCACCGATGTCAAACATCATTGGCTGCAATCAGTTAACGGGTGACAAATCACTTCTATCATTTTGCAAAGGGACCGAGGTTGTCCGGTGTCGGTTCTCGTTAAATTTTTCTACCGTAAAGTGCTCGACTTCGCGCTCAAATCGTCTGGTTACCCAAACGGGGGAGCCATACCCTCTTCAGAGGATCGAAATTGAGATGGAATGTCTTCGGATCACCCCCTTTTTTAGACTGTCATCAATAGCCCTTTGAGCAGCTCTAGTGCATCGTTAATAAGGTACTAGTAAAAAATGTTTTTAGGGTGAAACATCTTTGATAATTATTTCGTACTATCTTATGATGGTGTCACAGTTTTCCATTATTCTCAATACAATTTCTTATTTGCTGAAAAATAACATGTCAGAATACAGTTTTCCCCTATTAATTTTTATATTGCTTTGGTTGTCATCAGCATAAAATTGATATTAGTCATACAGTTATTGTTTTCCGATAAATATTTTTGTTTCCCTAATTTAAAGGTTAGAATTACCTGTACTGTAATTATTACGTTTTTGATTTTGTTTGATTGGGATTGTTTTTTATTATTATCTATATATATATTTCTCTTACACGGCGACAAAAAAGCCACATTACAACTCTCCGAATGGCAGCGCTAGAAAATCGACCAATGATTGCCGCTAAAAATGTCAATTGCCAAATCTAGCTGAGGTGGCTCAACATATAGCACTTTTAGAAACGGAAACTGAATTTCTTCCGAAATTCACCCTATCAGCTGCGGCAATCTCATACTATTAAGATAGGCAGAAGTGAGTAGTCTTTGTCGATAGATCTCTATTTTAGTATTTTGTCGAAAGCGCTCTTTTTCACGAATTTATATATTACAAATTTATTTGACAATTTTTGATAAATTTATTTTAATGACTTGGTATTTACTAAAAAGATTGATTTGAATGATTGTTTTGAATTCTTAGAATTGTGTGCATTTGCAATGTACCTAAGTTAGTACCGAGCGAAGCGAGCTTTGTTTGTGAAGCAAACCATATAAGATTGCGTAGCAATTTTCGGGGGTTGGCGAGCGTTAGCGAGCAAGGGGCGCAGCCCACTAGTTATTATTATTATTGGGCACTACAGCCTATGACAGGCCAAGGCCGTCCCAATAAGTTTTTGCCATCTTGATCTATTCTGTGCCGTGGCCTTCCAGTTAGTTATTTCTATTATCTTTAGGTCCCTCTCAACTGCGTCCAGCCACGGAGTCGGTGGGCGGTCCGTTTTTCTTGTACCTTCTGGTTTAAAAAAGGTTACTTTTTTTGCAGGGTTTTGGTCTTCAGATCTATAAAGGTGTCCCAGCCACCGAATGCGATTGGCCTTAAGGCCTTAAATTATTATTAGAATAATTTAATTCTACGTTAAATTTTTCGATAAAGTTATTTAAATCGGGTGTCTGATCTTATTAACAGTTTTACAACTATTATTTTTTGGGGAAAATTACTAATCGTTATATTCTAACATATTAATATATTATTATGAATTAGGGTTAAAGAGTTACGTTAAATTATTTAGAACTTAACTTTCAGTTTCATGGCACAAAGTGGAGAATTCAAAAATTGTATTTAAAATACATTCATCCGTTTGGTAAGCAAAAATATTAAATTACAGTTACGAACACACCAAATTTATTATAACAATATATTTCTAGTTTTAAATGTTATTTTAAATGTTATTTCAAAAAAATGATTACTCTGAAAAATTATTTACGTCCACTTATAGATTTTTATAATATCATGATTGAAATATTTGAACGTGGAAATTCGAGGTGCAAGTTTTCATTTTAGTACATATACTTTTAATTGAATAATTTCAACTGATTTATGAGCAACAGCAATTATCGCTGAGAAGCAGCAGTTATTGCGAAGCAATCATTAGAGTTGTTGAGCGTTAGCGAACAGGGGGCTTAGCACCCTAGTATCTATATATATATTTCTCTCACACGGCGACAAAAGAAGCCTCATTACAACTACCCGAATGGCAACGCTAGAAAATCGACCAATGATTGCCGCTAAAAATGTCACTTGCCAAATCTAACTGAGGTGGCTCAACATATTGCGCTCTTAGGAACGGAAACTGAAATAACCAGAGAGAGCATTCTCACCAAATGTGATCTCTTCCGAAATTCACCTTATCAGCTGCGCAATCTCATACTAATAAGCTAGGCAGAAGTGACTAGTCTTTGTCGATAGATCTCTATTTTAGTATTTTGAGGAAAGCGCTCTTTTTCACGAATTTATATAGTGCGAATTAATTTGACGATTTTTGATTTATATCACGAGTTTATTTGTTTTATTATTGTTATTAGTTATTCATTGAAAAATGAGTCTCAGTCATGCTGTTACGCTTTAAGATTTTATACTATAGCGCATTTCTAAGAGGTTTAACGAATTACATGTCATTTATTTGAATTCAAATTTATTTTAATGGCTTAGTATTTACTAAAAAGATGTAATTTTAAAAAAAAAGTTGTAATATGGATTTGAATAATTGTTTTGAATTCTTAGAATTTTGTGCATTTGCAATGTACCTAAGTTAGCAGCGAGCGAAGCGAGCTTGGTTTGCGAACCAAACGATATAAGATTGCGTAGCAATTTTCGGGGATTGGCGAGCGTTAGCAAGCAGGGGGCGCAGCCCACTAGTTTAAATAATTTATGAATTTATATGAATTTATGATTTTTGAATGATCACGATAAAAAATATATTCTAACAATTCAAGTTTTCTGTAAGATTCCTTATGTACCTAAAAGGTATATAATTCCTTATATGCCTTTTTCATAACGCAATAATGAACTTTCTTAACCATTGACGAAAACTAATCGAAATTCAAGTAAAAAGTTAAAACAACCTGATAAGACTCTATTAAGTAACTACAGTTAACTATACTAAGTCATTACTGGTCGATACGCAAGTAAAATATTTGTTTCGAAATTAACTCCACCAATCAAACGTTGTTTAGCAATCGGTACAAAAGTTTAATACAACCACTTGATCTACGGTTGCGTGTGACTATAAATTTCTAAACAAACGTGCGTGACCAAATCGCTTTACGTTGTTTCAGGCCAGTCCATCAACATCCAGGGCCGGCCCTATACGGCAAACTTACCAGGCACCCGATGACAGGGGCCATTTATTATTCGGAGTATGTTTATTTGGAGGAAATGTACATTGGAAGTTTATCTTTAAAGAGGTCTATACAGAATAGAATGTAAGGGGGAGGATGGAACAAGAATTAATCCATGACATTTCTGGAATGGGATGTGTGAATAGAACGTGTTGATTTCCGAGAGGGAGTTTCGAATTCTAGGATCTGTTGAGTCATTTTCTTGTGGAATGAAAAGGATTTCGGTGAATTAGAAACGAAAAGATATTCAAATGATTAATGCTAGTTTGGGTTTGATAGATAAATATTTGGGGATGATTGCTCTGTGGAAAATGAACTCAAATTTGGAATGATTGAGGGATTGCACTCGTTTATTAACGTGTAATTTCGTTGACATTTATAAAAATAAGATAGTTTTTTAAATCTAAACAAATTCTTAAGGCCTTAATTTATTTCATATCTGTTTTAAAGATATTATTTTTAGAACTTACAAAAAACACATTTGTTGTGTTATTTATTTGTTTATAAAAAAAATATGTAAATAAATTCCATTTATTAAAAAACTGAAGCCCAAACTTTTTTATCTTCATAAACATTTAAGAGGCTTTATCATTTTTATTAATTACTATTAAATACGTAAGAATAAATATGTGATGAATTTTAAATTTTTTCAGTAGATATAAAATGTACTGCATATGGTTAAATTCTGAAAAGTTAAACGACAAAAACGATCTGAAAAGTTAAACGATTGTCTAAGTTAAACGACACAATCTGTTAACAATACATTAGAGCTTTAAATATAATTGCTATTTATTTATTTTTTGCTGCTTAAAAGAAATGTTTTAATTACATCGTTGTAAAAATGTATAGATTATAAACTGATCAAAATACGGCAGAATTTAAGAAAAATGCATCAATACTTTTTCATATATATATATATTTTGCAGAAATAAAAAGTGAATCTCTAATGTTTTCAGATTAATCAATTTGTGTCTATGAAAATGCTAAAGTAATTTTTTTTAAATTACAGGATTTGACGTAAACTAACCTGTATTAATTTAAAATTCATTGAAGTATACACATCTCTAATACACAAGCAATATATATCTCCATAAAGAAATAATTTTGTTTTGTTAAAAAAAAATAAACGAAAAAAGTACGATTAGTTATTTTATTACATACCAGTACAACTAGAAATGAATAAACTATTATTCTTTGGAGTAATACACATCTTTATAAGACAATAACTTTGTTTTGTTAAAAAAAATACTAAATACAAAAAATACTAAAAGTAAAGAATACTGTTTTTAGATCAATCAAATTGTATCGATAAAAATACTAAAATAATTTTTTAAATCACAGGATTGTACGTAAACTAACCTGTATTAATTAAAAAATTCATTGAAGTATACACATCTCCAATACACAAGCAATAAATGTCTCCATAAATAAATAATTTTGTTCTGTTTAAAAAAATAAACGAAAAAAGTACGATTAGTTATTATATTACATACTAATACAACTAGAAATAAATAAACTGTTATTTTTTGGAGTAATACACATCTTTATAAGGGAATAATTTTATTTTGTTAACAAAATAACGAAAGAAATAATTTTGCTCTGCTTAAAAAAATTAACGAAAAAAGTACGGTTAGTTATTATATTACATACTAATACAACTAGAAATGAATAAACTGTTATTTTTTGGAGTAATACACATCTTTATAAGGGAATAATTTTATTTTGTTAACAAAATAAGTAAACAAAAAATACTATTACATGTTTTGCTTCTGTTGCCGTATGCCTGTTTAGGCAGTGGGGGTGCGATTGTTCTTGTTTTTCAGTGGCACCATCTATGGCCAGGAATTCGACTTCTGCCACGCCATTCATACCACCAGAACCCGTTTATAGGGCGGGTCACATTCACACACAAAGGAGGAATTACATAGAACACACAGAGAGAGAAAGTAACATCCATGCCCTGCCCGGGATTCGAACCCAGGACCTTTCAGATGCAAGGACAGTTCCTTGCCTCCTACACAGGCCGGTCGGCAATTGTTTTATTACATACTAATATAAAAAGAAATTAATAAACTATTACTCTTTGGAAATAAGAGCGTTTTTTTCGCACACTTAAATAATATTTTCGAATGCATTAAGTAATAATTAAATACTATAATAATATTTAACGAATTCTCCATGCTTAATTTGCTTTCTTTTTCTATTTTACAAAATTTTAGTCGCACCTGTTATAGACTCTCAGTATTTTCCGGACACTATAACAGCTAATGAGGGGGAGAGAGCAAAAATCATCTGCAGCGTAACGAAAGGTGATCCACCCATTCGATTCAAATGGCTCCAAAATGGTAAACCATTTGTTCCAACCGGTAAAGTTACAGTCCAACTGCTGGAAGATTCTTCCATCATTCAGTTTCGGAGAATAAAAGCTAGTGACAGAGGTGCTTATACTTGCATTGCTACAAATGCCGCTACATCTACCAACATTACATCCCAGCTTGTTGTAAATGGTAAGTAATATACCATCTATATAATTCATGACAGCATTATAAGTTTGAAACATCATTGTAACTGCTATTGAGCCAAATTATGAAATTTTACTACTGGGCAGTGGCTAGTTGTACCTTTCACCTGTGACCTACGACCACTTCATATCAAAAGTTTCAAAATTTTGAATGACCAAACAATTAATATTTATAATGTAAGGCGTTTCTTTTGAAGCATTTGTCAAAATATTGTAAACATAAGAATAATTTTTTTTCTAAAATAGAGAAAAATTTTAAGATACAAGCGTGATCTAAAGTAATTTTCAGAAAAGTGTGTTAATGTTGCTGCTTATCCTCTCTGTCTGACGGAGTCAGACAAGATCCACTAGTTCGTTAACTGAAGGGAAGTTGAAGACTAGGAGAGGATTGCTAAAGAGATCCTCCTTAGAGAGACCCATGCAATCCAAGTTGTGCTCAGGAGAAGCCTATTTGGCACTTGGTGCAGGTTACAAAGGTTTTCCTGCCCTCGTTGAAAGTAAGGCACTTGATGTGACCGATAGCAAGCCTTGATAGAACAGTCCGGGTACGTTTGTCGCACGGGAGGTCAAAGGACAAACCCGGTTATGATCCCTTGCACCAATTCTGGGTTGGGGGTGTTTTCCACTCCTCCGAGATTTTTGATTTTTCCCGAGAGTATAACTCCAAAAAAGTAAGTGTGGAAGAGGGAGTTGTTGTAATCCTTTAACCCACCTCAGCAAGAATATCGGTCATTTCATTCCCGTGGAGAAAAAAAAACAGCATCCGTATCAAAAGTCAACAAAGTCATTGGTGAGGGAATGTGCAGCTTCAGTTAGTCCAAGGACCGGGGCACCAGTAGGTAGAAGTCTGTCTTGGCTCCTTCGCCTACTGATATTTAGCTAAGCATAATGGAATGGCCTTCAAGCCTTGGGTGGCCCTACCAGGAGTAAACTCCCGACCTACTTCACCCATTCCGCCCAGGGTCATCCTCCCGCCACAATGAGGAAAACAGTAGGACTTTGGGAGGGTATAAAACAGGTATGAAACGGGGACCTCTCGAATTTGTAATAATGATAATAATAATAAATTCACATAGAAGGAACAGAGTGAGTTTATTCTACTATGTTCTAAATACATAAATAAACATACTTAAACGAAGCATACATAAACAAAGATTTAGGGACAAGAACAGTTTATGTTAATTTTTTACAAAAATGACGATTGANGGGCTTCCGAAGCGGGGGTGCCATCCCCTCCGCAGAGGATCAAAATTGTGATGTCATGACTTTGGATCATCCTCCGGGATGTTTCCCAGACCGTCGCCAATAGCCCATTGTGCAGCTCTAGTGCAACGTAAATTAACAACAACAACAACAATAGACAGAATTTATTGTGTAACAATATGTTTTACATATAATGCAGCATAATTCAATGTTTTATTTTTAAATAATTTTGTTTCATAAATAGATTTAATTTATTTGCTCGTAAGAAAAGTTGTTCATTGTTTTATGTTACAATAAGTATAAGTTCAGCTAATAAAACTTACTTAAAGCAATAAGTATCTTCATAATAAAGGTAATGGTATTTTATTGAAATTTTCCGGTATTTATTCCCAGAGCACAGAGCCTGACAGATACAAAATTTCAATATCCCGTCCAAAGGTACCGGAACTAGAGTCATTATGAAGCATGATATAATTTGGCCAATTGATTTTCGGACGCTGCGAGTTCCTCCTATATTAGCGCATTATCATCGAAAAGCATTATTGGATGAGGAACTGCGTATTTGACTCTAGATTAATTTAAGCTGTGCATATTATTATAACTTTAAGTATATTTCCTTTACAAAGATTGCGATGTCAAACAAGTCTAAATTATTAAATGGATATGCCCAAGAAACTGAATCGGAATTGTATACTTGATGATAGGAAATTTCATTTGCTTAAAAAAAAGATGAAGATTGTAATAAAAGTGGACATGTTTCCAGCTCTCCAAAATAGATCTCCCAGTCCTTGACGAGAAGGAGGAAAACATAAGTAATTTGAAACAGGAAATGTAAATTTGCCAATAAAAAATAAAGGTGTAAAACAAAACTAGAAAAACTTCACTCAAGACTACTATGGTTTTTTTAGTTTTGTTTTTCATCTTCATTACCCATTTTCAGCAGGTTTTCTTAAAATTTTTATTTATTTCAAATAAGTTTTGTCTTCTTCATTCACGTCTTGAGTATGGGTGCCTATTTTCAAGAACTCGAAACATTTTGACTTTCAATTATTTTTATTTTCACATTTCCAACTCTAATTGAAGCTTTTTTTTAACATGAAGTGAGTTGAAAACATGTTTTTAATTTTTTTCAAACTTTCGCATTCTTTGACTTTTTGCTATATTTAATAACTTAATTCGGGGCTCGGAACTGCCATTTTTCAAGCTAAGAATATTGTTCAATTTCCCTTTAAATTTTTGTGTGAAAATCACATTTTGATAAGAAAAAAAAAGTTATGTGAGAATTTCGAAATTTTTTAGCTGTTATCGTATCTGCTTGAGCCCTATTATTGTTTATAATCAAATCCTTGAACGCATACTTTACAACAGTTAATAGTCTCCTTAGAATGACTAATAGCTGGAAGGCTCACCTAATAATCATATTTTACAATAAATTATTTTTAAGTAACTACCTTTTTTATACTTTTTTTTATTAAAAAATATATACAATAAACGCATCCAATTTTAAATTTTAAAATAAAAATGAATCTATATTACAATTTTATTTAATTGAGCTATTTTCATTTAAAATATATTTAAAAATATAGTGGCTGGGTGGCGCAGTTGGTTTGTCGTCGGCCTTCTGAGCCCAAGTCTGCGGGTTCGATCCCCGACCCAGACACAGGATTTTCGGGATGCAGAAAATCCTCAGCGGCCATGTCGCATGATTATGTGGCATGTAAAAGATCCCTGGAGTGCCTTATTGGCTCTTGGCATTTCCGGCAAAATTAAATTCCTAGTGCATTTTAACATCCAAATACAGTCTCGGTGCTGCCATCTAGTGCGTCAGAAGTTAGACGTCCAAATTAACATGGCCAACGGTATCTCACCCATTGTGGTGGTCCTGAAAGAGTGGATACCACCTCGGGCGAACGCACTAGGTCTGCTCATCGGCAAGACCGATTGTGCAGCTCATTGGAAATAAAAAAAAATATTTAAAAATACAGATCAAAATTAAGTATGTTTGCTACTGGGTATCAGTCATATCTAGCATTTTTAACAGTAGCCACTTTTCGTAAAATTGAAAATTTAAAAGATTGAAAAAACTTGTTATTGATTATGTGAGGGCATTTCTTTTGAAAGGTTTCTTATAATGTGTTGAGCATTATTTAAACGTTCATTTCTATGGTAAAGAAAAATTTTAGAAAACAAGAGTGAAGTTAAGTAGTTTTCGCAATATAAGATTTTTTTTTCTCAGATAACCGTCGTTGAATCGAAAATTTTGAGTTTACGACTATCAATGTTCAACTTCATAGCTCTGTAATTTTGAGTCCAATCCCGAAGACAAGAGAACAGCTGGATCCAGTATTGATAGAAATTCCCCTTCGTGGGGGACTTTTTATAAAATTTGCATTTGATTTAAGCTGCGTACCTTACACGGTCAGCCTTACGGCAAGTGGATTCTAACTCATGATCCGTCTACCACTGAGGATATTTAACGGAAGCACTGCGATCGGTGCGGGATTCGGAATTTGTATCCAACAACAGTTAGCTGGGATTTGAGCCCGGGTCATCTCCTTGAGAGATGAGCACTCTATCCTCCAAGACACCATGACTCAATTCAATTTTTATTAAAAAAATTTTTAAACACAAGTGAAAGAAATTTTAAAAAATATTCAAAGCACCTCTTTATTGTGTGAACCAGGTTCGAATCCCAGCGATGACTAGTTGATACGAATTCAGCACCCAGCTCGCACCAATCACACAGCCAACGTAAAATATCCTCAGTGGTAAACGGATCATGGGCTATAATCCCCTATAGTCAGGCTAGCCGTGGGAGGTTTTCGTTATTTTCCTCTCCTAATAACAGAAAAACGGGTTAGTTCCATCAAAAAGTCCTTCACGATAACAAATATCTCTCAATACTTGACCCAGAAGTTCACTTGTCTTCTGGATTGGGTTAAATATTACAAGGATATGGCGTTGAACATTTTTAGCCGTAAACCCAAAAATTGCGTCGTCAGTTCAACGACGGTTATAAAACAACTTGGTATAAAGAGGTATGTACTCATAACGATTTTTATGTGGTAACTCTAGAAGCTATCATTTAAAGCATTATTCAGTCTAAAATTAAATAGCGAGAAATTCTGAAACTAAAATTAAATTATTAACCGCAAGTGTACATTTTCAGTCCCCCCGACATGGCTGTCGGAACCCATGAATACGTCAGCGGTGTTGGGCAGCAGCGCTTGGATGAATTGTTCTGCTGAAGGATTTCCTACACCCAGCGTTATCTGGAGAAAAGCTAGAGGTTCGTATCTGTATTATGCATGGAAATTACTAAATGCATCAATGGCACAATTTCACGATGAGGGATTTGAACGTTATCAGAACTCCCCGCCATCGCTTTTCAGAGCCCGTATCCTTTCAACAATCAATACCTTCGAATTGTTCTAGTTTCTGTGCATATGAAATTACCCAAAATCTATTGGCAGAGGCAGGGGTGGGTTTTCCATTAGAGCGGAAATATGCGCATATTTATTCTATCATTGATAAATAAGTTGGAATGTTATGACGACGTTCTTCAAACGTTTTGGTGGGGGAGATTAAATGAGAAATGTAATCAATTGTTGATGTTACGAATTCTTATGGCGGGTTTTCACCGTTTTCCAGTTTACGAGCCCTTCTCAGTTGAATAATGGAATTTATGATTTAATTATCAAAAAGCTTGCGTATGGTATTAAAAGTTATCGCTCATAATTGAAATTAACTTTTCGAATTTAAAATACTTGAAATAGTTGCGTATTTATTGGAGGATGCATTTGATGAATCCTTATCCGGAATGAAATGAATAGTTTAAAGGTAATAAACGAAAGATTTAATAAACTATTGTTAAAATCATCAGTTACCATTTTTTGAATGATGCTGGTTGCAAAGAACAGAAACTTTAAGGGGCTATAAGTAACAAAACTATAGTTTCATTATCGATCAATTTCTAAGATCGAGATATATAATTTATGTATATTTTGAAGAATTGCGTACTTCACAATTTCCTCAGGGGCTTGGAGGACTTATTAAATATTATGTGATTTTCAATTAGTGATTCTTTTATGAGGTTACAGCAAAGATTATGTGTCCGTGCCCCCTAAACCACGTGATTTAACAGAATTAAGACGCGAGATCATGAATCTGTTAAATCACTTGGTTTAGGGGTCACGGACACATAATCTTTGATGTTACATCAAAGATTATGTGTCCGTGCCCCTAAACCACTTGATTTAACAGAATTAAGACGCGAGATCATGAATCTGTTACCATTGATCTTGACGTGTTAAGTTGGTTGGTTGGTTTCGTATGCATGTTTAGGTAGAGGGGTGCGATTGCTCTTGTTTTCCAATGGCGCCATCTATGGCCAAGAATTCGACTTCTGCCACACCCATTCGTCGCACCCGTTTATAGGGCGGACCCATTCATACATCCATTCATTCAGCCACAAATCGTAATTTTGACCTGAATCAGAGAACGATCGATCTCCAATTCAGTACCCCCAGAGGTATTGATTTGTTATGGGAACATGGAGGACTTTGCGATTCGACAGGTTTAACGTGCATCAGTCGCATTTTACTACACGGGGAGTCTTCAGCCGGCGGGGTTCGAACCCACCAACTCACGAACATGGGCTCAGCGCCCTACCGACCAGGCTATCCCGGCCGACCCGTTAAGTGACATTGTTAAGTAAATGTGACAAAAATTTGACATCACTTAAAACCTGCCGCATCATCAAAAATACAATGTTTGCTGGAAAAATGCAGTAGTAAAATCTGTTGAAGTATTGGTAATATTTTGTTTGTTATAAGTCTTCCAAGCCCTGGACAGAACTGCGACGCACCCTGCAGTGTTAATAAGTAACTAAGATATTAATTTGTAACTAATGCATTTTGGTAGGGTACTTATAGTAAACATGCAACTTATCTTCAATAAAAAGGTGACAGTGAAATTGTTTACAATATATCTATTGTAAAAAATCAGCTCTTAAGTTCGAAAAAATATTTTTTTATTTTTGTCGAAAATATTCTTTTTTATCCTTTTTACCAAAATACCATTAATTCTTGTGATTTGAAGCAAAAGATGTTCTGTAAGGAAAACTTTTAAAAAAGATCTAACTTTCTTACGAAATTCCTTAAGGGTATTGGATCATATATAATTGTAAAAAAAACTTTACTAAAGACCACGCTATCTATCAAAACTCAAGCAAGATTTCTGAAAAATCGTACAGAAAGATTTTCTGTTCAATTTCTTAAAAAAAAAAATCTTTGCACAGTTTTTTCAAAATTTCGCTGTACTTAGTAAAATAATCATGAGGTTTAATTTTTTTTCCTTTTAAAAAAGCTTAAAGAAAATTCTTCCTTAACGAAAACAAAGGAATTTTGTGCCAAACCGATTATGTTTTTCTTTCAAGGATTTGTGCTAATTTCTTTTTACTTAGAGAAATTTAAAAACATAGTTTCGCATTATAATTTGTATGGATGTTTGCGAGGATCACACATTGTTTTTCTTGAAATTACAATTGATAAAAAATGCTATGCTGGAAAAATCTATCCTAATATATAAAAGCCCAATACACAGTACCATAGTAATCCCGTGAATGCTACAAATAACTAACACCATTTTCTAACATTTCTATGTTAAAATGTTTTTTTAATAGATCTGTGAATTACAGGTTAAAAAGAAGTTACACTTTACTCAATGCAGAAAATTATCATTGTACTTCCAAGTGTAGAGAGAATCAAGAAAAGTTTTATGTTTAAAAAAGATTTGAAATAATGTTAAGATTTCTAGATACTAAAGATGCAGTCTTGAAAGTTTAAAATAGGACCTTAAAAATTGAAAAAATAAAATAGTACTTTCTGTAAATTAAAATGTAGGAAAATAGACACAAGATCATATTTTCTCTGAATAATCAATGCCTTTTTTTCGACAGTTAAGGACAATACAAAGGTCAAAACTTTGCTCCACTTAAAAATAATTTTTTATTTTTTGAATTTGTTTTCAGACATTTTGATATAATTATATACGGATTTAAAAATTATTGCCCTCTGAAATGAAAATCGTTAACCCAAAGATAATTTAAGAAAAATATATTATGTTTGTATCTTTTATTTTATTAATATCTAATTCAACTGCGATTGATAAAAATAATAAAAGGTAAGATGTATTTGTTTCTTAACCTCTTTTATGTGAGGCATTTTCTATTCCTTACTTATGAGTTTAGTACTTTTTAAACACACTTAAAAACGTTTAAATGACAAATGCCATCTCAAGGGTCACTCTCAGGCAGGAAAAATTTTTTTCACTTCGTCCATAGGTTAACTAGGGAAAATCCGGAAATCCCATGTTTATTCAGTAACTGAAAATTTATGAATAATATTATTATTATTAAGTGATAATAATAATAATCAACAATTATAATAATTAATAATAATTGAAGATTTAATTAACATTTAAAACATTTATCTGAAGAAATGAAATATTTTTTTACGTTGCATTTCTTTTTTGAAAGTATTGCTTTTTGCTCTTAATAAGTTTATTATATTAAGAAAAGCTATCCCATATAAGACAGATAACTTTGATTACTTTTTTAAAGTTTTTCTTCTAGAAGAAGTATTGTTTCTTTTTATAGAATAATATGTTCTATGAAATTTAGGGAAATTCTTTTCGCATAAATCAAGTCAGAAAACAATGAAAACGCTCACACAGCTAAACATTTCACAAAATAAATGCGATATTTTTTATTGCACTTCAGCCTTAGAAACATTGCGTTCTTGTCACTAATAAGCTAATTTATTCTAGAACAATGCAGTGACATTGAATAGAAGTACAGCAATCAAAAACATCTTTTAGAATGTGTATTTTGAACGTTTCCACCATGGCCATCACATTGAATTTGGATGTTGCCCAACATATGAATAAATGATTATGTATACAGGACAAGAACATCCCAGGGAAGATAAAAGAGAAAAATTATGAAATTAACTGTGTTTGGATAGGTTTCAAGAGTAAAATTTGTGAGTCCAGGGTTTGCGAAAATGGGGAGTCTTTAACGAACCCTTTGATTGCGGCAAGTTATGAAAAATTCCAGATAAGTCAAGACAGAGAAAGTGGAATATTTTACTTATACCATTGTTCCGGTAGTGAGTTGGAAGCTAGCCAAATGTAAACTTTGCCTTTCTAGTTCTCGGCAATCTTTCAAGAAAGTAAACCGAAAACACTTTAGATAGTATGCATCACAGAAATCAATATCTTTCACTTATATTTAAGTGATTTTGCTCTTTTGAAATCTATGATTACTTTTGAAAATGAAACAGATATTCATATGTTTTAGAAAATGGGTGAATGTTCAATGTCTTTTGTAATGAAAAGAAGAATTAATACGTTCAGAAACAAATTTGAAAATGTCTCGTAGGTGCCATATGTACTTACTTAAAATGTTTTGCGTAGTGACTCGAAAGTTGAAAGAGTGGTGTAAGTCACTAGATGTGGAGACTGAAGACAAGTTATCAATCGAAACAATTAAGATAAAGTGAATTTAAGTCATCGCCCATAATTTTTAAAATTTCACTCTCTTAAACTTAAATAGGATTCTGAAATTGCGAGTATGGTCAGATTTTTCTAACCAGAATTGAAGTAGGTTACTTAATTAAATATATAAGCAAAATAAACACAGTAGTGGAATAAATGAATAAATAATTCCAAGAAACTGAAGCGGAAAAGTATTGTTTGAATTAAAAGCTTCATTAGCTTCAAAAATATACAAATTGTAAAGAAAAAGCATAATAGGAAACGAAATATAAACTTTATTTTTTATATTTCAAATCACTTTTGTATCTTTAAAATCACGTCTGCCAAATCTTGAAAATGGGCGCCAATTTTTGAAAGCTTGAAACATGTTGATTGTTATTTTAAAATTATATATATACATGCATAAATACAAAAGAATACAGTATAATGAAAAAGAGAAGACGAAAATTATTTTTTAAAAAAATGAATAAACATCCGAAGAAAAAGAAGATATAATCTTTTCATCAGCTCACACGATTATATCTGCAAAAAGGAGTGCTTTCTAATATTGTATCAATATAGCCAAGCAAATATATATATATATAAGAAGTATATATATATATATATATCATAATAAATAAATA